TTTCACTCGACAATATATTATAGGTAATAGGTATAATTAAATTGACAACAGACTATTTTAGGATTATTTACGCGGCAATTCCTATGTACGTCCCAATCGTCTTTAATATTAATTACAAACCTTGGTGGCCGTTGTGCGATAAGATAACGATTACTCCGTAGTCGAACACCGATCATTGCATATTGTGTGTATTTATAGGTATACAATGTTCATAATGTTCATATTAAATTTCTAATATTAAAAATATCCAAACTTTTTTTCAATTATTTTACAGATGTATTTTTAAAACTTACCAAGAGCTCTGAGGGCCCCTAAGCTCTAGGGGCCCCAGGGCACTGCCCTGCTTTGCCCGATGATAGCTATGCCACTGGCAGTGGCGCACAAAGGTATTTTAAGAGCACATGCAGTTAAAAAAAGTTAGCCACCCAMCCACTTAATTTTTTATTTATAACAAATATTTTCACTTATTATTCACTGTAATTCAAAGAAATCAATTAGTATACTCGTAAACTATAGTTTATGTTATAATTTTTTTAATTTCCCTGTGAAACCTGCAGTAGTACACACCCACMCCCCTCGAGAACACATGCAGTTGCACTGTCTGGGCGCCACTGAACACACCTACTATTTTTTATTCTTGTGAACTGTGCAATATTTGTTAACAACATTGCTTTCACATATACACAGTATATTTGATAAATTAATCAAATTTGAATAATGATTAACCTAACTTACTTATAAATATAAAAATATAAAAATGAATTATATTTGTTTATAACAATTCCACTTTAAATTGAAAAAAACTAATGAAAAAAATGTGCTAAACTAGTCATAAATATGTGGAGCTATAAACAGATACGTGAAAAAATCATTTAAATAATTATCTGTATTAAGGTATTAGCTCAATTCACAAATAGCATTTTAATCGTAAAAAAAAGGTAAAACCTAGAAATCAAAAAATAATGTTAATAAACGCAAAATAAAATAAGCAATTTTGAATATAACATAACATAAAAAAACTGGTCCTAAAACAAAGTATAAAAAAGGTAAAAATGATAAAATTTTAAAGTTAAGAAGTTTAAAAATAAAAAACGTTGATAAACACGAAAAAAAGGTTAAAAATACAACAACCATTTGGAAATTTTAAAGCAACATTGAAAT